ATTATACCGCGTGCACGTTTATGCTATACTTTATATGTATATATGTATATGTACTCGTTTGCCTTGCAAGTGATGGGCATATCTCCTAGAAATTGTCATCCATCTGATTTGTTCTCCATTTGTATTGCCTTCCCGCTCGCTTCCGAAAAGAGATCATCATATACTGTTGGATCTCTACCTCGTGTCGTTTTTTTTGACAAATCCACACATACATAATTTATACTTCACACCATCTCTGCAGAGCAAAAATCGCTTATGCGTCAAAAGGAATACTTTTAAGCATATATAAATCTGCATGCACCTTTCCTAGGCACCCCGACACACGTGTAACCACTGGTCCAGAAGTTACCAACACATATATAAAATACCTCTTTAAGTAAAAATGGATATAGCAGTGAAAGAACAAGACTACTCAAACGGACTTATAAAGAACTCAGCCTCGTTTGAAAATCTGAAATTTACCAACATCAAAAATTTTAAAGTACAGAAGAGATTCCAAATACTCTATTTCATTCTGTTTGTTTTAGTAACGGGTATATTTTTCTTTTTTCTAATTACTACCTATTTCTTTACCCCCAATTATAAAATTAATAAAATTGTACAGAATACGGAACATTTAACCTTACCCTTTAAAATCCAAAGACCCTATGACAAGGTATTAAAAAATGTCTCAAAGAATAATCTAAAAAATTACATCAAGGAAACCTACAACCTTTTCAAATCTGGTTACATGAAACAAAACTACTTAGGAAGTGATAATGATTCAATTGAATTAGATGATGTAGCCAATATTATGTTTTATGGAGAAGGAGAAGTTGGAGACAACCACCAAAAGTTTACTCTCATTTTCGATACTGGTTCTGCAAACTTGTGGGTCCCAAGCAAAAAATGTACTTCCATCGGATGCAGCATTAAAAATCTCTACGACTCCAGCAAGTCTAAATCATATGAAAAGGATGGAACCAAAGTTGATATCACTTACGGATCTGGAACTGTAAAAGGTTTCTTCAGTAAAGATTTAGTAACCTTGGGCCATTTGTCCATGCCATACAAATTTATCGAAGTCACAGACACAGATGAATTAGAACCCATTTACAGCAGTGTCGAATTTGATGGAATTTTAGGTTTAGGATGGAAAGATCTCTCCATCGGATCCATTGATCCTATTGTTGTAGAATTAAAGAACCAAAACAAAATAGACAATGCCTTGTTCACCTTCTACCTACCCATTCATGATGTCCATGCTGGTTACCTAACCATTGGTGGAATTGAAGACAAATTTTATGAAGGAAACATCACCTACGAAAAATTAAATCACGACTTGTACTGGCAAATTGATTTAGATGTACATTTTGGCAAACACACCATGGAAAAGGCTAACGTCATCGTTGACAGTGGCACAACAACCATTACCGCTCCCACAGAATTCTTAAACAAATTCTTTGCTAACCTAAATGTTATTAAAGTTCCCTTCTTACCATTCTACGTAACTACTTGTGACAACAAGGAAATGCCCACTCTTGAATTCAAATCAGCTAACAACACCTACACTTTAGAACCCGAATATTACATGAACCCACTTCTCGAAGTAGATGACACCCTATGTATGATTACCATGTTACCAGTTGACATTGATTCAAACACCTTCATTTTGGGAGACCCATTCATGAGAAAATACTTCACCGTCTTTGATTACGACCAAGAGAGTGTCGGTTTTGCCATAGCTAAGAACTAATTTTATAATGGTCAAGAAAAGAAAAGTGGAGCAAGTCCAGGGGCTATATATGTATATAAATATTACTCGTAGTACTTATGCACAAAATCATGTTGGAGTATCATCGAAAATAGTGCTTTCTCACTCCAATGACTGTAAATATACAACCGAAGGTACAGACCGTATAATAAAGAGAGAGAGGAGGAGACTGGCACGTAGCGGAGTTACACGCACACGTTTCTGTGTTGATGCTATAAATAGAACAGAGCCTCTGCCGGAGGGGAGCCCCCACAAAAAGAAGAAAAAAAGAGAGGGGGTAATATTCTTATGTTACGTATTTTCCTTTTTTTTTTTTTTTTTTTTTTTTTCCTTTTTTTTTTTTTTTTTTTTTTTTTTGAACTCCCCTACGCCGTTTTCCTACCCTTTAAATCATATTTCGATTATTGGTAATCCCAATCGAGTAAAAAAAAAAAAAAAAAGGCCTATATAACCTTTATAATGGACAGTGACTTAGCGGGCGCTGCAGCTTGATCAATCCAGCCCCAACTGTGTCGCTGTATGTTAAACAAACAAAAAAAAAAAAAAAAAAACGTGTGAAAATAAGCGTCTGTGTTTTTATGTGTGTTGTCGGTCACCTTTTTTTTTTTTTTTTTCCCGTGTGAAAAAAGATAAAAAAGGAAAAAAATCATAAAAGTATTCCATAGGCACTGCGGAATGTGTTTTACAAGTGCACATATATCTGTGTATATACTTTTGTATATACATCATTAATGCTTGTTTTATGGTTTTTTTTTTTTTTAATGAGTCTCACCACGCGTTTTAAGAGCAATTTGTTTTCCATCTGCGCATTTATAGGATCGACCTCGAAATTGTTTATTCTTTAAGAGAAATGACCACAGTTATATATACCTAATAAATATACATATCTGTTTTTATGATGTTCCAATGTTTTCTTTTTTTTCAACCGTTACAGATGATATAGCTATTGTAAATATAACTTATGTCTGCCACTTTTTTTTTTTTTTTTTTTTTTTTTTTCTTTCGTCCTTTCATACCTGTTCTTATCTTTTTTTCTTATTCATTCCAATTTTTTTTTTCTTTCTTTTTTTTTCTTCTTTTTTTTTTTTTTTTTTTTTTTTT